CCTCTGTATTTTCTTACATAAGGTTACATTAAATCTTGAGTCATGAGCTTGTTTTGTTTTGTTTTTGTTTTGCCTTCTCTTTGTAGTGCTAAGAATGTGTTATTTCATATACTTTATGGTTCTGTTGTCCAGGGTGAAGGTAAAGGTTCATGATTTTTGTTTCTTCTTAGAGACTCATTAGCAATATAAAATGCCCCATTTTATTCTAACATATTCACATTTTGTCAGATATTAATACTGACTTAACTGAATTCTTTTTGCTACTATTTTGCCTATTCATGTCTTTTTGCTGTTTCTTTGATTTCAACCTTTATTGATTTGTATAAATAGCATATGGCCAGATTTTTTTACCCAACATAGTCTCTTGTATTAAAGTAATTTAATTTGTTTGCATTCTTGTATTTATGATGTTTTGTCTTACTTTATATCTTTTGTTTATTATACTTTTCCTTTCTTGTTTTCTTTTCCCTTTCCCAACTCTTGCTGGATTAATTGAATTTATCTCCCCTCCCCCACAGTGGTTTAAAAAGGTCTGTATCTTATCTTCCTTCTAAAAATAGTTACCCTTAAATAAAAAACTAAAACCCTTGTTTCTATGTCAATGTCAAGAATTAAATGAAATCTAATTTCCAACAAAATGAGACCATTATTACCCACATTTGTTTAGATTCAACTGTACATTTTTCTACTCTTACTGTTCATCATTGTTTCCTACATATCCTGCCTTGACCTTTCTTGAATTAGTTATTCTGATACAGTTTTTATTTTGTTGGAGTAATTCCTTGAGTAATTTTTTTTTTTAAAGAAAAGATAAGTGGGTGGCATACTATTTTTAGTGCGTTTGGCTTTGAGACTAGGCTGAGTAACAGTTCTCAGGGTTTTAACTGTTTTCCCTCAGATCTCTGTAGTCTTGACTCTGTTGCCCTCTAGCAGTTAATGATGTAGATGTCAAGCCCAAAGTCACTTTGATTCTCAAAATTTGTATAGACACTGTCAGAGAGGAAGCTGAGTTCATCGCTCACTGGGTAAGGGGGAACTTCACTTCTATAGTGTCTTGGCATGTCTGGAGGAAAGAGGCAAGATCTGGATTTGTTGATGGTTAGAAGTCTCTAAAACAGGTATGTCAATGTAGGGCTTGACTAGGATCATGTAAGGAATACAATACAGTAGTCCCAGACCGGTGGAAACAGTGAGGAGGAATTTTGAGATGAGGCAAGAGAATCAGAGAAGAGCTGATGGAGCCTTCAGCACGTTTCTGTAATGAACAGTCAATCCATCTGCCAGGGCTGGAGTCTCGTGGAAGTAAATCATGCTCACGGAGGCAGTAAGGTGTCTGGGCTGGTGGTTTCTGTCCCCTGCCCTGTGCCCCAACTTTGGTGTTTCTGGCAACCAGAGGCATTCACTCATTATCTTTGGCTCTCAGGAATCCCATCCTTCCCGCCCTGTCCTGGCTCCGCTGCCTCTGTGCCAGTTTCCTGGGTGCTAGGCAGGTGGGCCGTCCCTTGTCCATGCTGGGTGAGACTGACTGAGCTCTGATTAGATTCTCTGTCCTTCCTTCTCATCTGCTTTTCCTCAGACTTGCTGGCCAGCTGATGCTGCTATGGATCTGTTCTTTCTTGTACATGTCTCTTTTCATCCCAGTGGTGTTTGAGGGAGAGGAGGTAGATGGATGAGCCTGGTTTGCCATGTAGAACCTCAGGCATGTGTGATATTCCCGGTGACCCGGATACAGGTGTGTCCACCTGGCTCTCCCACCGGCCACCAGAGGCCAGAGTGGCATTGAGGTGATGCTGAATGAGGGAGAGGAGAGCTGTGGCTCAGTCCTCCTGCCTCCTCCCGTCTTCTCTTCCAGCCACACCCTTGGGCCTGACTGCATTACCTCACTGACTAAAACAGTTCAGTGACCTCACTCCCCTACAAGATTAAGGCCAGACTATCATATATACCAAGTTCCTTCCCTCCCAACTCTCCCCTCGTGAGTTATCACTGCCCCTCACCTCTAACCAGAGGGACAGAGTGCAGTTTCTCGAACGTTCGGTCAGTGGGGGGGCACACCCTGTGTTTGAAACGCCCTCTCTCTTTCTCACACATTCGACACCGTCAGAACTGACTGCTTCCTTTACACCTTTACCGCACAGCAGCTTAGAACCAGGGATGCTATAACGCATTCCTTTGATTTCTTGCCCCTCCCCACGTCCTCACCCCCAACTGTGATCCCCTTGAAGGGAGGGACCGAATCTTTGCTGTCTTTAATCTCCAGGATCTGCTCCCCAGCCTGGCCCCAAGTAGGCACTGAATGCACATCAGTTAAATGAAGGAACAGCCAAGTTAGGTTCTAAAGAGAATTGTTCTGTGCTGACTGTGTGTGACACACCATGCCAGCTCTAGGGGTAGGGGGATGAGTCTGATGACCCGCCCCAGGTGTATGCTGTGTGTGTATGTGTGTGTGTGTGTGTGTGTGTGTGTGTGTATGCTGTGTGTGTGTGTCAGTACTGTCCAACTCTCTGACTCCATAGACTATAGTCTGCCAGGCTCCTCTGTCCGTGGGATTTTTCAGGCAAGAATACTGGAATGGGTTGGCATGCCCCCCTCCAGGGGGGTCTTCCCGACCCAGGGATTGAACCTACATCTCCTGTGACTACTGCATTGGCCGGCAGGTTCTTTACCACTGTGCTGCCTGGGAAGCCCTACCAAGGCTTTAAGACTCCTGGAATCTGTGGGCGTAGAGGGTGCTGTTACATATTCTGAGAGGCCAGCAAATGTGCTGTGGGTATTCTGGGGTGAGTCCAGTTTGGGGTGAGCTAGCCGAGCTTTCTGAGAAAGGTGGGTAGGATTTGGCCAAGTAGACATGCTTATAGGGGAGGGGAGTAGATGTGAACAAGGTTCAGAGTTGGGAAAGCATGGGCTATGTTTATAGGATAACATGTTTGGAGACCTTGGTGTTTCTATACTGGGAGGGATAGAGATAACTCTTTTTATTAATAATTTGAGATCTATTGGAGGCTGTGAGGTCGGACTGGGGATGGTAGAAAAATGTGAAGTTGTGACAAGTTTGGATGACTTGGACAACAGAATCAGGAAAGAATAGACAGGAGCCTCGGAGCAAGTTCCATTACACTGCTGTGTGGTGCTATGATGCTGCTCTGGAGTGTGGGATGGGGTTGACTGGATTTGAGAACAGTGGGTAAAGCAGAGGGACTTTGGTTAGCTGTGCCTTCATAGGAATCAGCAGTAAGATGTAGTTGCCAAAACATGAACTATTCCAAAGCTGGGTCAATAAAAACATGGTGCCCGAAAGAAGGAGGGTGACAGTGCCCCAGACTTGCATGCGGGTTACCCCAGACCTAGATTACTAGAATAATGAAACAGTATCCATAGTATGACATGGGCCGAGCCACGTGCCAGGCATTGGTCCAGACCTTTTAGGTGTATGGAATCATTAAACCCCTGGGAGGTACTTGTCATTCTTAGCCCCTCTTATCAGGCACAGCAAGGCTCAGCACCTTTGCAAAGTGGAGGTAATGAGGAGAAGGCCTTAAGTAGAACCCAGGTATCCTGGCCCTAGGAGCCAGGACACCCATTCTCAGTCGCCACTCCACATTGCCTCCAGCAGACACACCAGAGTACAGAGTGGTGACTCTAGATTCAACTAGAATGCCTAGGCTTTCTTGATCATGAAACACGTTCCTCTGCATATTCTTGTTTGATTCTTAAATCAGCCTGGTAAGTTGGTTATTAAAAACTGATGCAGTAAACGTTGCCTCCCTTGGCCCTCAGTGCTCTGTTTTGTTTAGAGATTTGGGGAATACAGTGAGCTCTTATGTCTATTATTGTGTTTAATTCTCACCCAGGCCCCACTATGAGTCACTTCTGCAGGTTGTCTTGGTTTTCTCTTGCTGTGTAACAAATTACCTCCAAGCCAGTGGCCAAAAACAAGCCTCCTTTGTAAGCTCGAAGTCCTATAGTTCTGAAGTCTGGCACAGAGAGGCTGGGTTCTCTGCTCAGGGCTGCAATCAGGGTATTTATAGCCTGAGTTCTCATCTGGAGGCTCAGAGGGAAATTTCACTTTTCCAGACTCATTCACTTGTTTGAATCCATGTCCTAGGGAGTTGCTGGGGTTCAGCAGGGGCTTGTTCTCAGCTCCAAGAGGCTGCCCTCAGGTCCTTACCAGATGGCCTCCTCCATCTGCAAGTCAGCAAGTGCATGGCGAATCCTTCCCCTGATTCTAAGCCCTATGACTTCCTCTTTTTGTGACCAACCAGAGACAACTCTGCTTTTAAAGGATTTTCTCAATTAGGTCAAGCCCATGGAATAATCGGACAAGGCAATGGCAGCCCACTCCAGTACTCTTGCCTGGGAAATCCCATGGACAGAGGAGCCTGATAGGCTGCAGTCCATGGGTTGTGAAGAGTCAGGCACAACTGAGCGACTTCGCTTTCACTTTTCATTTTCGTGCACTGGAGAAGGAAATGGCAAACCACTCCAGTATTCTTGCCTGGAGAATCCCAGGGACGGGGGAGCCTGGTGGGCTGCCGTCTATGGGGTCGCACAGAGTCAGACACGACTGAAGCGACTTAGCAGCAGCAGCAGCAGCAGCAGCATGAAATAATCTCCCTATTTTAAGGTCAAGTGTGCCTATAACATAACCTAATTGTAAGAGTAAGATCCATCATATTCACAGTCCTGAGGATCATGCATGATGTGTTCACCAGGGAGACGGGAAACCTAAGCGTCATCTTAGAATTCTACCTGCTTTCTGATAAAAGAAATAGAGGCTCAGAGAAGTTCGGTGTCTGATAAAAGGTAGAACATGGTAGGCACCCGGGCCACCACACCACACTGTCTCCCCAGGCCACTTGGGAATCTGTCCCTGCCCCAAGACAAGCAGCCTGGGAGGAGCTGGGGGCCTGGGCCATCTGGGACCAGGCGGACATTGTTCTATGTGTAAAGAAGTTGACCAGGCAAACTCTCTGATCACGTTTCTTGACCATCCCCTGCAGGATTCAAAGCACGAACCCAGCAGCCTCCAACTAGTTCATGGAGGAGCCTCAAGAGATACTGGCCAGGCGAGCTCTCCCTTGCAGAGGGAAGAACACAGTGTGAGAGGAGGCAGCTGCCACAGCAGTGGACATGAATGCTGGTTTTCAAAGAGAACAGCGTTTTAGTTTTGGTCATCGCAAGTGGTGCCTTCAACACAGGTAGGAAATGCGTGGTCCTCAAATACGCTTGCTGGGGGCTCCACCTGGTCTTTCTTGCCTGAGCTTGCTAGAGTCCTTCCTCTTTATAATGGATGATGGTGATGATGATGGTGATGATGATGATAAAATGGATGATGATGGTGATGAGGTTTGATAATGATGCCTTCCTTGAGCCTCTGTGAAAGCTGGACCTCCTCGGGACTTCCTTGGTCTAGAGTACAGTAGAAACCTTGGAAATCAATACTCTTTTACTGCCGCACACTGTCTCCCCTCAGATGTAGTTTTGTCTCTCCAGTCCCTCAGTTTCCAGCCTGTCCTTGGCAACAACTCTTCTTAAGGGACCACAGTCTCCCTGCAGACCAGCCTCATTGTATCTCCTGCTGGCCAGAGCTCCACCCACTTCTCTGTGCTCCCCGGCCCGCGATGGTTCTTGCCTAAAAAGCCCCCTCCCTAGTCAGAGGATCACAACAGAGCAGCATCTTTCTGGGTCCTCCTGGATGTGAAGAAATGAAAGGATATTGGATTCTCGGTTTGGCCTGCATATTAGAATCACCTGGAGTTTTAAAAAATTCCAATGGCAGGGCCCCACCTTCAGAGAGACTGACTAAATGGGCCTGGGAAAGGCCCCAGTATGGCTAATCACACGCTCTCTCTCTCTCTCTCTCTATATCTATATATATATATATATATATATATATATATATATATATATATATATCCATTTAATTCATTTTTAGCTCTTCAGGTATGAGTTGTGGTTTCAGGTTATAAGTTCAGGCTGTGGTTCAGTTTAGGTGTGTAGCGTTAGAAGCTCTTTGGGTCAGGAATATAAATCTTTGGATGCTTTGTCTGGCCATGGAGTATATCAGAATCATCCAGGGATAACGAGAGGAAGGGAGGGAGTGCCTGGGTTTTAAAAAAAAAAGGAAGAAAATAAATTTCTTGGCCCACCCAGACATGCTCTCTGCATCAGGCTTTCGGGGGCTGAGGACACAGGGATCTGTATTTTTATGTTGGTCTAGCCAAGGTCTGGGTGCCTGGGGCTTCTCTCTGGGGCCCCTGGAGATGCCTGTCCTGTATCTGAGTCTGTGGGCTCAGCTGTGAGTCCCAGCAGGTGCTTCCCAGCCTGGCGTGCCATGCACGGTGCTCTTTCTCTTCCTCTGGGCAGAAGCTTTCTCACCTACAGAGAGGAGGATAGGGCCTCTGGCAACGCTCAGAGACGGCCTCTCTGTAGCTGCCTGAACTGTGGGGGGCCTGGGCCTGGGCCTCTGCGCAGCTCAGCAGTGCCACGTGGACCCCTGAGACCCAGGCTATGATCAGGGTTCTCCAGTAGAGGTGGAAGAATCACCCCCTGGACTCTAAGGAAGGGTGCCCTGGCATTTGAACCTCAGTTTGAGGGGATGTGTAAATGTGGAACTTAATAGTAGAGCCTCTGGATCTTCCCAAGTTCAAATCCCAGCTTCAGCATTTACTGGTTTGGGAGGCAGGTTGCTTGGTTTCTGCCTCGTGTTTCTTGCTTGGAAAATAGGAGAGTTGAGGCCCTTGCCACACAGGGCTGCTAGGGAGGTACCAGTGAGGCCCTGGAGTGTTGCCAGACACCTAGCCAGGGCTCCCCAAGATGGGCAGCCCTCCTGCAAGCAGGCTGGCTGCCGCTGCTCCCTCCTCACTGCCGCCCTATGTGTCAGCCAGGCTCTGCTGCCTGGTCCCAGTGCCTGAGTTCCTCAGAGAGAGTCAGGGCGAAATTAAGGGCCGATGCTGCACACAGGGCCTGGGCACACTGCAGACAAGATTTGTCCTGCGGAAACCCCAGCGAGGCTGGTCCTATTGCCTCTTTGTACAGATAAGGAAACTGCGCACAAAGAGGTCCAGTAGTTTAAAGACAGTCACACATCTAACAAGGAGCTGAGCCTCTGGCTACAAAAGATCCAGTACTTTCTTCTCCACTAACATGCTTCCTGAAGAATGGCAGTAACAGCTTCAAGGATGACTCCTGCTCCAGGGATGTCCGTGTTTTAACAGAAATCAGTAGACCATAATACATATGAATGGGTCCCCCTTCCTCGGCATCCTGGGATACCTTGTGGTGCCCTGATTTAGCATTTGTCTCTTTCATACCCATCGCAGTTAGCTGTACATGGTCTGCTCCGCTGGCAGTATCAGGGCAGGGTCTGGATTTAGGCAGCTTGGTGTACAGGAGATATCTGAAGTAAGCTGGAAATAGAAACTTCTGAGGGTTGCAGGCAGAGACATGGGACACTGTCGTGGGGAATCAGATGGAGAATCCTCCCCAGACCTGGCACTAGCCCTCTCTTACTTTATTCTCACAGTCTCTTTTTCTGTCCACGGAGTCCCTGCCAGCTGCATGGAAGAATCTAGGAGATGGGACTGACCCAGAGGCAAACGAGCTATCAGTTTCAGCGAGAAATCTGGTCCCCACCCCTTCCCGTGCTCCCTCGGGGGAATACAAGCATATGTGACTAATGGGGTGCTGACTCAGCGCTTCTGGAGTGCCCAGACTCACAGGGCCCACTGCTGGCACAGCTTGCCCCAGTCACCGGCGGGGAAGCTGGAATACCTGGCATCTGAGTGAGGTGGAGGGCTCAGGCCCAGGCTGGCAGGGGTGCCAGGCAAGAGCCAACCATGTGCCAGCCTTCAGTGGCCTTGCAGAATCCCTCATGCTGGCGGCGGGGGTAGGGGGTATGGGGAGTGGTAATTAGCACCATTTGAGGCTTGGAAATGAATATGTTGGATTATGTATTTGTGGAGTCGTGGCCCCTCACATTTAGTATGGTCCTGGACTGGGGCTCTCTCCAGAATAAATGTGATTTCTGAATGAGTGATTAGAGGGGGGATCTAATTTGGAAATGGGTATGAAAGCATTTTCTCAGAAGCAAAGCTTTCTGCTAGTAGTTTTCAAGCTTTTAGAGTTTTAGGAGCCATTTAAAAAAGTCAAATCCTGCACTTTGCCAAGTTAAAGTGGTAGTTTATTAACACCCATTTATTTTCTAAGTTCAAATTTTTTACATCTATTTATTATGAGCATCCATTAACAGAGCAATGATTCAGCTTTGATGCATAAAAACATTAGAAGCTCAGGGTCTAGATCAGGCATCAGCAAACTACAGCCTATGGGCCTAACCCAGGCTGCTGCCCGATTTGTGTAAATGAAATCTTTTTGGAACACCGCCATGTCATTCGTTTAAACATTATTTATGGCCACTTTCCCACTCTAATGGCAGAGTTGAGGAGTTGTGACAGAGACTGTCTGTCCCACAAAGCCAAAAATATTTACTCTTTGGCCCTGTATAGAAGAAGTTTGCTGGTGTCTGTCCTAGATGGTCGTTGAATCAGTATATCAGCTGTAACATCCAGGATCACTTTGTCTTTTTTTTTGTTTTGTTTGGCTTGGTTGCATGGTATTAAGAAAGTTCTAAATTGTATCAATAAAATGATGTGAATTGGTAACAGATTTCTCACAGCTGACTGTGCAGCCCAGGATGGGCCTTTAGTTTAATGTTGTGTGGACATTTGGGGAGGAGGAGACAGGGATTCTGGTCTGCATCACTAACAGTATCAAACATTTGCTTGAATTCCTTCTTCTTACAGGAAGCATACAGTCATTTGTGACATCTTTGTGGTAATTCATGTAATCCATTCTCATATCACTGAAAGCTTCAGCATGTACTTGTTTGTGTGGTTTTACAGAAGTGTGTATTGTCCTGAACTTCAAAAACAACAACATAAAGATGCCCTGTAAAGAGCTCCGATCTTTCTAGTTGAAGACACTTTTCAATCCTGAAGTTTCAGATCCACCAAGATCTGCACAAACCACAGCTGGCCACACCCGTTGTGAAGTGTGCCATCAAACACCTTTGAATGTGCAGGTCCGTTTTCCCTAACAGTTTTAACAGGCGTCAAACTATATTTTTAGGATAAAATTCTCACATGACATTTGAAGAACCTCTGAAACACCTCTGCGGAACATGATTTGGAAACCGGTCCTTCAGCAAACATTGGTGGTTCTCTTTTCTGTGCTCAAGGACAACGGTGGAGCCAAGGATGCTGAGGGTTGGGGTTGGGAGGCTCAGGAGAAAGTAGTGAAAGATGGCAGAGGACAGAAGCGAGGTGATGCTGTCAGTGGCGGAGAGGCTCATGGGGCAGGGGAGGGGCATCAGTAATGGGAAAAGTACTTGGGAAACACAGAGAAGTCCCAGGAGCCCCTGCTGAAGCTGGGAGGTGTCTCCTAACACTTGATGACCTAACACAATTCCCCAGGGCTGCTCTAACAGCGTCCAGCCATAGGCTCGGAAGAAAAGGTCCAAAAGATTAAAATATACTGAAAAATGGTAGGGGAGGATGTGGAAGGCACATACAAATCGCTTCTAGTCATCATGCTGAAGACCTTTGAGGCCAGTCAGCAGATCAAGACAGGGGAAGGGAGCAAGGGAGATGAGAAGGGGTGACAGAGGGGTCCTCTGGGTCAGCTCACTAAATCAGTTCACGCAGGAGGCGGAGCATGAGCATGGGCGATACTTGCCAGTGACCTGAATGGGGACAGATGTCAAGGCCCCAAGGAGGGGTTGACTGGGGTTGGACAGTGGCTTTGGGCATTCGAGGCAAAGCCCACACAGCCAGGAATAAAACCCAGGAGTCCCAGCTCCCGGGCCCCCTGCCTTCCCTTGGTGGGCTGGAGAAGGGAGGGGCAGGCCAGTGGCTTCGAGAGGCTGTGGGCTGGAGAAGGCCTCTCACAGATAAAAAAGCATGAGTTCTTTCTGAGGTTTTTGCTGCTCACCCCATAGAAAAAGAACATTTTTAGATTTTAAAAGGATGACCTCATTTTTTTTTCTTATTTACATAGCCCTGTTTGTTTATATAGCCCTTTAAAAATAGCCAGCGTGTGCTAAGCTTAGTACTCCCTCCCACCACCAGCGGCAGAGCCACTGTGTGGTGAGAAACACCTTTTCATCTAAGAGAGGGGCAGCCTTGTTTCAGAGGACAGA